TGGTCTTTGCACGGTGTCGGCAAATTAGAACCAACAATCAGACTACAACATTCAGTATTCTCAATCCAGAAATGAAAGAATCAATAGGTAGAGCTTGACTAGATATATATATATATATATATATATATGACGGATAAAAAATGCAGAGGTAGCAGAGCGTCAACTTGAATCCACCTATTGCAGATGCAATCAAGCGAAGAACAAAATGGAAGAAGAAGGGAAGAAGGAAAGCATGTGCGACTAGCTAATGGGTACCTAAATGTGCCGCTGTGAGTGCTGCCGCTGACTACCTTCTGAGTTTTGTCGTTTGCTGTTTGCCGAGCACCAACTAGAGAAGGCAGGAAGGGAAGAAGGGAATTGCAGAGCCAAATAAGAAATGGGAGTAGTGACTTAGGTTAAATTTCTAACACATGTGAATTTACAATTTTAACCTCAAAAAAAAATAATAACAGGCTCAGGCCGCCTAACAGGCCTAACAGGCTCAGGCCTGATAAGGTAAACTGGCTCTTTTACAAGCTTGAGCCTGCTCTGATAGTTAAATAGGCCAGACCAAGCCAGGCCAGGTCACAGGCCGTCTGACCTATTTCTACCCCTAGTTATGACAGCCAAAAGGGCAAACCAATTGTAGGATCTACCAACACCGCATTTCAATTGTTTGCTATAACTGCACTTGTTTCCTTTTGCTTCTCCATCACTCCTTTGGCTGCCTTCCTTGCCATTTACTCCTCACGAAGTGATCAGTACAGGCATTATCGTCGAGCTTTGCCCTTGAAGCTTCTTGTTGGCTTTTTCTCCTTGTTTGTCTCCATTATCTCCATGTTGTTTGTCTTCAATACATCATCAATTGACTCCACCAGCTTTGATGACAGCTCCTTGTACTGGTCTGGGTTGAGGTACTTAAAACACAAATTTCCTAACTGTTCCTTCCAACTGGATATTCCCAAGCGATTAGCCAAAGGTGCAAAAATCTCCAAGGTCTCTTTTGCAAACCTTTGTTGCTTTTCTAATGGCAATGCGTCTAGTGTCATCATATTATGCAACCGATCTGCCAATTTAATAAGGACAGCTCTTGCATCAGCCATGGCAAGGAACACAGCATGCAGCCGGTCTGCCTCAGCTGATTTGCTAGCAGTATCATTATCCCGTGCAAGCTTGCTTAAGTGGCTCAAATTAGAAACCTGATGAAATGCCATAAAGATTAGTGAGGATCTTCAAAGGGTAAAACCATCACAAATCCAAAAGTTCTAACTAAGACATTTTGGGGTATAAATTCCAAATTTCAAGCCGCAAAATCACAATTCAAATAAAGTCAGCACATTAGATAACAAAAGCATTATAAAAATCCCTATGTGCTAGAAAGAAAGAAAAAGAAATTCATCCCTAAACATATAGAAGGTTCTATTGCTACTACAACCATATAGAATCAGTAAGTAAGCGCTTGAATCCTGCCGTGTACTCCAATTAAGCTGAATCCTAGCTACTTTGGACACCTTATGTCGTTTAAATAAAGGAATCTATACCAACTGAACCAACCTAGGGGGGAAAAGCCTAGCTCAATCTTCATTAAGGCCCATCTATATTAAATTTGACCAAATTCTACCTATCAACCTACACAATCCATAAATGCATAGAAGTATTAATACTGCAATAAACTTGACATCGAGTACAAAGGAGAGGTTAATCTAAGTGCTAATTTAGAACATACGGATTAAAAATGCATAATTGCAGTACATCTAATGTTATGGATAAGAATCAGTAGACATTTTCCTCACCCTTAAACTAAATCGGCAACTCCAGTACTAAACGTCCTCAATAAATAATCGTATGTCACAAAGGAATCATCAAGGGTGTCGTGCAGAAGCCCTGCAGCAACAACTCTGGATCGGCACCAATCAAAGCAAGAAGAACTGCTGTTTCCACACAATGGTGCAAATATGGATCACCACGCATCTACAGAAAAGGATTCAAACAGTTAAACTCACATCATTAAGACCATGAAACATAGTATCTTTGAAGTATCAAAATTCCCATTTACCTCCCCTCTATGGGCTTGCTCGGCTTCATAAAAAGCCTTAATTACGACGTCTTCACAAAAGATTTTGTGCCTCAATTGGGCATCCCGTAGCAACTCTTTAGCGTATGGCTCAGATCTATCCCCCACAAAAACATCTTCAAAATTGAAGGTCAATTCATCCTCTAACGTAGATGAAGCCAAATCTAAGCCACCACGAGAAAGCTCAACACTTGGCGAATCATGATCTAAGCAGGTTCCTACTGCATTTCTCACAAACCCATCGAACATTTTAGATGTCCCACCTCGAATTGAGGTCTGGTAACTCATATTCCCGATGATATCGCTACTTCTACAAGAAATTGGCCCTTGGAAGACCGAAACTGGACTCGGGTCTCTTTTCCAAGAAGAACCAGCAAACTTACTCGGAGAATATGAAAAGGAGCTGCTCAATTTCCACTCGGTCGTGCCTCAAAGTGCCCAGTTCTTCTCCTCCGCCAGATAAGCTCGATAACGGGGCATGCTTAACCGTCGGTGAAGAGAAGAACCAGGAAAGGCCACCCATTAATGACTTCTGAGACGTGGATGCCGTATTCGAAGACGACGAAGAAGATCGAGACCCCAATTCTATGTCAGACGCATGCCCATTGATCTGGCAGGAGTGCGGTGTCGAACAAACACTGCTTGGAGCGCTGCCGTATAAAGCTATAGTCGAAACCGCCATGCTCGATAACTTGCAGCGTCTGCTTCTTCTACAGTTGGATTAGAGATTCCCAGCTCAAGGAATAAGAAATTTTTTTCAGATATACTCGAATAACCCCAACCAATTCTGCAGAATAACCTAATTATTTACAAGCTCTTTCAGAAACCAGGAAGCAATTTCTAGACAGCCCAATGATTTTCAGATACCCCAATCAGTTTTCCCTTTTTCACCGACCTAGTTACTATTCACCGATACCGAGTTTCAGAAAAGTGACACAACCAGAAGAAAAGTATCCAACTTGTCTGTCTGCACAGAGAGGAAACTGAGGGAATTCAAAGATTCAAAATCAAAATCCGATTGGAATTTATAGTAAAGGAGGAGGAACTGAACTAGTGTATTTACATAATAATGTCTACAAAGATGGGAGTTTGTAACAAACAATGAAGAAAGAGCCCGAAACAGAGAAGAATTTACAAGATATTAACCCTAAAGCTTTCAAGGAAAGAGAGTATGAAACGATGGGCAATGGAGAAAGGGAGAAAAGCAGCGTCTTGTTTGTTTTTTTCAGCGGCTCCGCGGAGCTGGCTTTCTCTAGGGGCCATGGAAAGCAAATGTGCAATTACTGAGTTGCCCCTCCACCGCAAGCAGATTTCCTTTTTTGGTCCGAATGCCATGGATGGTATCTGGTTTTCTGCTCCATAAATCTAGATAAAACTCAAGAGTTAAAACACTCTGATAAAAGAAAAGGAGTTAGAAAATAGTGATATGAGGTTGGCCAAAAACAAAACTAAAAAAAGATATGAGACATGAGAATAAAATATAGGGGAATAAAGCGATGCTTATTTTTCGTAAAAAGAAAAAAAATTAGGTGAGATCTCAAATCAAGATTAATTAATACTATCTCCGACCCTAATTATAAGACCTTATTTGTAGATTATAAACTAGATCTTATAATTAAGACCGAATGTAGTATTTTGATAATAGCATATGCTCTGCCTGCCTGATAAATGTCAAGGTAGCCTTTTCTTTTTTTGAGAAGATCCAAAAAAACTGTTAAATTTTAAAATTTCAAATCAATATTAGTTACTATATTTGTAAAGAAAATGACTGCTTTCAAAAAGCAAATAACAACACATTTTGTTAGTAATTCCTGATTTGTCATTTTGAAATTTAACAATATTTTTTTTGGATTTTTTTTCTTTAGTGAGATTTTGCGGATTTGATGTAATAAGACAAACAAATTGCAACTGTTTTATCTTTAGTTAATTTTTTACTTGGACTTAATTATAAATATAATTTCCTTATCAAAATAAGAAAGTTTCTTACCGTAATCAAATTTGGGTTCCTATTCTGAGATATTGAAATATTATAAGGTGTAGTTAACTAATTTAAAAAAAGTTTAAAAAAATTAGTTAAGTTGATGTTTGTCACAAATACATGTTAATGTCCCTAAATTATCCTCTTCAATTATTTACATTGGACACTTGGAACTATTCCTCAGTGAGAACCCTTACAATAAACAAGGATATTTTGGAAAAAAAATAGAAGACAAAGTAGTATAATTTTTAGTTATTTAAATTTTCTTTTTACTAATTTAATATTATCTCCTATCGTAATTATAAGATATCGTTTATAATCTATAAATAAGATTTTATAATTAGAATAACAAGTAGTATACGTTATTGTTGTTTGTTGCTTGTCGTTTTCTTGTGTAAAATTAAAATTCCCACTTGAACTATGTATGTTATACCCCTCCGATTCTTAATATAAGATCTATTTAATTAATTTGATTAGATTAAAAAAATTAGGTAAGTTAGTTAATGATAAAAAATGTGACATTTTTCCTAAAACACCATAATCATCTTTCTTAATACCTCATATCTTTCTTTTACTTGATTATGATGGTTGAGGGAGTATCTATAGGGATAATTTAGAGCAAATTGATAAATATGAGAAATGGGTCTTATATTTAGGACCAAAACCAACTCAACAATTGGGTCCTATGTTAAGAATCAGATGAGTATTATATTTAATTAATTATAAAGGAATTAAGACCAACCATATTATTGTTATGTAATTGTCACCTACGGGGCAAAAGGATAGTGACAACGAAGCAAAGTATAAATGCAAACCTTGTTTCCCCTTCCAAAAGGAAAAGTCATTTGAAAGCTCAAATCAAAGAAGAAATGAATCACGTCTATATATAGTAATATGAAAGGAAACCTCGAAGCACGAGCACCCACATGCTCACACACACACACACACATATATATATATATATATATATGTGTGTGGCTAGACATAAGAGAAGAGAAATCCAGAAATGGAGGAAAGGAGGCAAGAGCTGTGCAAAGCAGTGTTGGCACAAAAATGGGATGAAGTTGCAGAGTTATACAGAAGTCATCCACAGATTCAGGATATGAAGATCACCAAATCGGAAGACACTGCACTGCACGTGGCGATCAGTCTGGGAGCACCAGAAGACAGGGTTGTAAACCTCGTTCATGAGATTGAACACACCCACGTTAACAGCCTCCAAGTTGCCATCAAAAACTTGGAAGCTACGAATGACCAACAAGATACTCCTCTGCATTATGCTGCCACACGAGGCTGTCCCTCTATATGTAAGCGAATATTGCAGGTCCATGAAACCTTGGCTAGTAAACCTAACAAGCTAGGTGAGACGCCTCTGTTCTTGGCCGCTCTCAATGGCCGTAAACGTACCTTTCTCTATCTTCATTCAGTTTGCAGGAAGATGCAGAACACCAGCACAGAATTATTACGGCGTCCATCGTGGAAAAGAGCTAATGGAGACACTATACTTCACTGCACAATTCAAAGACATTACTTTGGTATGTGAGTTTTAAGTCTAATAATCCCATTATTTCAGCTTAATTACAGAGAACAAAACTAGGCATATACATTAATGATTCATGCATGATCTGGGACAGATCTTGCACTTGAGATCATTCATCTGTATCAAGACCAGAATATTGCCAGTGTTAGGAATAATGCTGGAGTTACGCCTCTTCATGTCCTTGCCTCCATTCCTTCTGCTTTCGAAAGCGGTACTCCCATGTCCTTGTGGGACAAACTTCGTTACCGTTGTGAGTATCATTTGCTCTCAATCACAATATATGTATATTATGTTATGTACCTTCGGTCCTAAATATAAAAGCCAGTTAAAAATTCAATTTGATCCTAAATATAAGATCCTAATTTATATTATTATTATTTTTTTGCTAAAATAATCCTAATGATAATTGCACATGTAAAATTTTTTTCATTATTCTAATGCATACTAAAGATATTTTAAAGACGTAAATAATTAATTTAACTAAGTTTCTCAACATTCGTAAATTAATTCTCTAGCTCGTGATTTTGTGTTGTTCATTTTTATTTCCACTTGTGTTTTTAATGAAAAGAACTGAAGTGAAGGCTTTCTTTATGTAAAGACATTCGTGTAGAAAAGCTGAGAATTGAGGCTAACGTGGAGGGCCACGTTCTGGAGGTTGGAAATTCTGTCTGGTTGAAAGCTGATGATGATCCAACAATAGGCCACCATAGTCAAGGTCGATGCTTTATTTTTTGAAGGAATCAAATGAATGGTTAATACAATCACTTGGCTGACTAATACTGTATTAACGACTCTAATTTCTTTTGGGTTCACATCTGGAAATTAAAGGTTTAATAAGGAGAATGAAAGAGAAACATGTATGGAGTGGGCAGATCATGGAGGAACTCCTGCAACGAACTTGTGAGTATGATTACAGCCAAGATGAGAGTCTTGGGGAACAGAACCAGCAAGGTAAAATATAATTTTATAAACCAATGATAAAAGGCAATTATTGAACTTATCCTATTGATTAAGAATATACATGAACCATTTGTATTTGATTGGCAGGAGCGGCCTTAGAGAAGGACAGAAAATGGACAGCGTTGTTAGTGGCAACAAAGAATGGAGTGACAGAAGAGGTGAAGAGAATCCTTGAAGTTTATGCAGTGGCTATTTATGACAAAACTGAGCCAAATAAAAGAAACATAATCCTTTTGGCTGTCCGAAAAAGACAAACCCATGTTTTTAAGTCATTGATGAATCACCCTCTTTGGCATTCACTCGTAGAGGCTGTGGACATCAACGGAAATAATGTACTGCACATGGCATCCTTTCTTCTCCATCACATGCCTCGTCAAATTCATGGACCTGTCATGCAAATGCAATACGAAGCCCTCTGGTTTAAGGTACAAAAAACTATATGTACTTCTCTTATCCTAAATGTAAGAGCTAGTTTAGGGGATTATTTTGGTTTACATGTCTTGTTCTTATTGTGGTGATCACTAGTTCATGTTATAAATTTTGTCTTGTTAAAGTATGTGAAAGAAAACACGCCAGCTCACCTGCGTTCTCAGGAGAACAAAGATAGAGACACTCCAGATAAGATCTTCGCAGAAGAGCACAAGGACCTCCTCAAGGAAAGCAACGAATGGATTAAGGACACTTCTGGCTCTTACGCTATAGTTGCAGCACTTATTGTCAGTGTCACCTACGCCGCATCGAACACTGTCCCAGGAGGCACTGATGACAATGGAAGACCTCACTTACGAGGCCATCTCACATTCGACATCTTCGTTTTCTCCGTTCTGGTTTCCTTCTGTTCCTCCATGACTTCCTTGGCCGCTTTCGTAGCTGTCTTCAGTTCTCGAAAGCAACCCGTTGATTATCTTCGAAGTTTGCCTCTGAAGCTTTGTTTTGGGTTAACTACGTTCTATCTATCTGTTGTCTCAATGTTGGTCTCTTTCTGCGCTGCGCATTTCTTTGAGCTTGATCACCGAATCAAGCATAAGATTAGCCCTTATGCTTTGGTGTTGATTCCACTGTGTCTGTACACTTATGAACAGATTCCACTGTACTGGAATCTTCTCAGCACCACTCTTTCCAAAGAGCCTCGGCCAAGATACGTGGGAGACAATGTTACCATGTAGCTACATCCAGCCATGCATGATGTTTCTTCTTCTTTCTGGCTCTGCAATATTTGCTCTTGCGCTCTGTTTGATGATCTATCTTCTCTATTGTGAGTTCCTGTACGTGAAATCTTGAAAGTTTTTTAAGTTTTAATTTGTTGCAAAATTTACTTTTTGGAAATGAAGCATTAATTTATAACATTAATCACTAAAATTGAGACATATATAGCTCCCATATATATGTACAATGGAGGGACCTCCCCGATCAGAATTAAAGTAAATCAAGAACACATATGGAATTTTATTGCTTTATAGAAGCAAGCACGTACGAGGCAAAAACAGAAAAGTAAGAAATATACATAAGCGTACATATATGTGCGTGCGGGTGTGTGTATATATATATCCATACATTTGAACTTGCTTAATTCGGCCTGAATTTGTGATGTGGATACTCCTATGTTACGTATGTAAGAGTTTGCTTTTATTCGTCAAGATGGCACAAGAAGAGACACGTTGAAGAATCTTCCATCATTTCTCTTACACCAAGAAAAGAATAATTCAAAAAATGAAACAAAAAAGTGGTAATAATACTAAAGCCATATATTATAATAATAATAATAATAATAAATGAAACAAAAAAGTGTTAATAATACTAAAGTCATATATATATATATATCAAAATCATTAAAGCCATATAAAAATAATAGCTGAAGTCACATTTTTAACGCTGTGAAACAAAAATAGTGTGGTAATAAGTTGTAACCACCACTAGTAAAAAATTATATTATTTTAAGAATGCCCTGCATATTAGAATTAGGAGAATCCTTATGTCAAGTTCATTAGGTCAAGTTTGTCCATTTATCCAATCATATTCTGCTACATGTATTATTTGGCCTCATCACCATTTAACCCCCCAATCCGTTTAATCCCCATTACTCAGGAAAAATATTTTTCAAAGAAAAAACTGTCAAAAAAAACCTGGGCATCGTTTATGCGATCTAACAAACCAAGGAAGCGATGGTCGGTGAAGAGCACTGGCAGCAAAGGGCACACAAAGGGATTTTGTGGGCAAGAAAGATTGCTACACGAAGGGTATTGCTTCTGCAAAATTCTTTTGTTTCGATTTTTGATTAGGAACAAATTTTACTGTTTAGATTTTTGGGGAGATGAACATAGCTTCCATGCCAATGCCTTTCTACTCCTTGAAAGTGCTTGAAAATATCCAGCATGCCACTATCTTGTAAGGAAGCTATATTGATTTCAACATACTGGATATCAGAAAGAACTTTGACGTGATTCAACGTCTTTCTCAGTAAAATAATCAAAGAAACCCCAAGAAATCAAAACAAAAGAATGGCAATATCTTCACGCAGCATGCTTTCTCACCCTTTGCCGTAAGTGCTCTTCTTCGCCACCCGTCGCGTCCTTTGTTTGATGGATCAACAATGCTCTAGGGCTTTTTGACGTTTTCTTGTTTTAAAATAATTTTTTCAGACTAACGGGGATTAAACAGATTGTGGGGGTTTAAATGGTGATGAAGCCAAATAATACATTATACATGTGACAGAATATGATTGGATAAATACCTCACCTAATGAACTTGACATAAGTATTTTCCTTAGAATTAATGGTATAAAATTTTTATGAAAATGTTCATTAGTTTAGATAATCATTTGATGGATATTTTTGGTTATACTATGATTCATAGGTCACGTCTCTTTATTGTCTATATATAGAGCTCAGCGTTACTCATTTTATGAACATTCAAACTCATCAATGCTTTTATTTTTGAGGAAAAGTATAAAAGATTAAATCAAATTATCATTTTGTAAAAACTTTTGTTATAATAGTGCAAACCATATTTAAAGTCTTTTTTCAGAAAATTTGCATTCAACCTCAGTTCTTAGAAACTTGGAATATATGGAGGCAAATCATACGTTTATCCACACTTCAACGAAATTGTAAAACTTTTTTAATTTTCTTCATCTCTTCGTTTTTATATTGCAAAAAAAAATATTCATATAAATTTCATGATTATTAAATTTCAGAAAAATCTCGCTCGAATTAATATTTCCATTCGAAGTCTCATTGTGGGGTCCAGTTTTAGGAAAATATAGGTTTAAAATAAATGTAACGTGATTTTACCTTAAAGTATGCAAAAGTTTTACACGATAAAAGGAAAAAAAAAACGTGTTCAATTTTCCTTTTCCTTCCAAAAGAAAGAAATTAACTTTTCCTTTTTTAATGGAGGAATAATATGATAAATCATACCAGGGATTAGATTACAAAAAAAAGGGTTCCCCACAAAAAAAATTACAACAACAGAGAAACCATGAATATCAAAAAAGTTAACACATCTTGGTCCTATATTTAAGATCAAGTATAGCTTCAAAACTTTGCTGTACAATTATATATATATCTATATATATATATCACCATTATTTTGCGATTAACGTAAACTTTGAAAGGTTTAATTTATGTATTACATTATGTTAATTGCTATTCTCACTCAATTCTTCAGGTCTGTTACCCATTGTGTTTCTGTTCAACGAAATGTCACAACAAGCAACAGTTAACTCTGCTTTCTTCTTGTCCCTCTGGGAACATACGATAAAATTGGAACGAAACTCTGCTTTCTTCTTTCTCCAAAGTAACATTCTATATATGGCTTGTACTATAAGAAAGCTAAGTTACCCGATAAGGACGTAACGACAATAATGTATGGCTTGTTTTATAAGAAAGCAACTGATTAACTTTGCTCCTTTAATTAGTATAAACAGAGACAGACAGCTGGAGATTTGTATTGCAAACTAGCAATCGTACTTATTTCTCTCTGCTTCTAGCTACCTACTGAACAATCACTTCAAGTTCCCCATCAGTAGCTGTATAAGGAGACAAATGGCTTCTTCTCATATGGAAGCAAAGCATAATCTTTACAGAGAAGTGTTGGGACGAAATTGGGATAAAGTGGTGGAGATAATGAGGCAGCATCCAGATGTTCATGCCACTAAGATCACCAAATCAGAAGACAATGTACTGCACTTGGCTATCACTCTTCATGCACCAGAGGCCATTGTTATGGAGCTCATTGATGATGTTCGGAAGAACAACCCAGAAGTTGCCATGGAGATTGTCACAGCTCGGAATAAGCAACAGGACTCTCCTTTGCACTGTGCTGCCTCCCGAGGCTCAACCTCTATATGTGAACGAATACTACTCTTTGATGAAAAGCTTGTTCTTAAAAGAAACAAGGAAGGAGAGACGCCTCTCTTCCTAGCTGCTCTTAACGGTCACAAAGAAACTTTCCAGTATCTTCATTCTGCTTGTAGTGAGACCCCCACAGCCAAGTTTTCAGAACTCTGGAGAAGGGAAAATGGTGACACTATTCTTCACTGTGCCATTCAAAGAGAATACTTTGGTATGTTAAGTTCATGATATATATAGTGCGTTAAGTTCATGATACACAGAGTAAGTCTGAAACGTTTTTGAATTAAGTTCTGATATATAGTGTGTTTGCAAACTTGCCCTGGCGGGTAGGACTGGCATATCATATAATTTGCCTCTATGGTGATGATGATGAAAAGATCATCGTTAGCTATGAGAACAAGGAAGGAGTTACGCCTCTTCAAGTCCTCGCTTCTGTTCCATCAGCTTTCAGAAGTGGTACACGCCTAACATGGTTCCAAGGAGTCTTGTACAGGCGTAAGTATTTTGTCTTAAAGTATTATTGTAAATCCTAGTGTGATTGATAATTTAATTAGTTATGTGATTGCTATGACTTGTGTCAGTGTATTGTTTGTCAACTGAAGACTTAGATGTAGAGCAGCTGAAAATTGATGATCAAACTCAGAATGAAGATTTGGAGGTAGGAAAATCTGACTCTTTAAGGAAGATCCATGATGCCGCACCAGAACTGTGCCTGAAGATGACGAAGCTAGGTTCATATCTATGCCCTCCTCAATAATATTCTTTGATGCTTTAACCTTTTTTTTTCCCTTGTCTGTGTTGTTGATGACTTCCTTTTTCTCTGGCTTTCATGTGTTTGACTAAAGGGTCAATAAAGAAGATAAAAGAGAAACATCTATGGGGTAGGTTAATCATGGACAAACTTTTCGAGCTAAATTCTGAGTACAAGTACAACGAAAATCAGATTGCATTCTGTCCAAGCAATGTTACAGATCCTACTGATGGGCAAGGTAAACCAACCTATCTGTGAAAGAGGATATTAGAACCGGTCGTTCAGATTCAGACTAGAATTTTCTGATGAGTTTGTTAATGAAACATCATTGGCAGGAAAGTCGTCGTCATCCTCGAAAAGAAACAATAAATCGACAGCATTGTTGGTGGCAACAAAGTACGGTCTGCTGGAGCTGGTGACCAAAATCCTTGACAGACTTCCAGTGGCGATATATGACAGAACAGAACCAACGAGGAGAAACGTAGTACTTACTGCAGTACAAAAAAGGCAAACGCATGTGTTGAGGGAATTAATGAAACATCCACTTTGGGATAGCCTCGTAGAAGATGTGGATGCCGATGGAAATAACGTGTTGCACATGGCAGCATTTCTACCGAAACACATGCCTTGGGAAGTATATGGCTCTGCACTCCAAATGCAATATGAAGCCAAGTGGTTCCAGGTAGAAAACACTTTAGTTACGTGTCTGTAGCCGTTTGGAACTTCTTAAAATAATCACTTTTGTAAAAACATTAGACCATAGGAAATAAGATAGATCTAACATTGACATTATAATATATTTGAATTGGATTGCAGTATATGAAAGAACGCGTGCCATCATATCTATACGCCATGGAAAACAACAACGGTGACACTCCGGAGGAAATCTTCGTGGCAGAGCATAAGAAATTATTGAAGGAAAGTAACGAGTGGATGAAGGACACTTCAAGTTCTTACTCCATTGTTGCAGCACTTACTGCTGGAGTCACCTATGCAACGTCGTACACTGTCCCAGGAGGCACAAATGATACTACAGGAAGACCGCCGTTAGAAGGCCAAAGGGCACTAAATGTTTTTCTGATCGCCATTTTCGTTTCGTTTTGCTTCTCTACCACTTCCTTGGCAGCCTTCTTGGCGGTTTACAGTTCGCGGAAGCAGCCAGATGATTTTCGTAGGAACTTGCCGCTGAAACTATGTTTTGCGTTAACGTCATTTTATGTCGCTATCGTCTCAATGATAGCGTCTTTTGTTGCGGCCCAATCACTTGAAGTTGACCCCAAAATGAAAGCTAAGCTTATCCCAATGTACAGTTTGATTTTCCTACCATTGTTGTTTTACACATTAGCTCAGATTCCACTCTACTGGGATCTGGTCAGAGCCTCTTTCAAGAAGGTGCCGCAGCCAAGATACATGGGAGAGAGCTTAACGATCACGATTCCCAAAAAAAGAAGCAGAATGTAGATATTGTTTCTTTTATTGACTGTACAATTTTCTTTTTCCCTATTGCCATTTGATTGAATCAGATTCGAATATTGTTGTGTCTTAGCTCTTCTTAAAGTGTTTTTTTTTTTTTTTTTCAATTCATTCAGATTCAAATTCAATTGGTCATATCTTACTTTATGTAGTTACGTGCCTTTCAGTTAGATGAATACCCAAATTCCTGTAACTAAGTATCGGATTGTGTTCGTAGACACTATCACATGTCCTATGCATTAATATGTGAGGGACAAATATTCAAATAATGTCTCTTAATTTCTTCTTCCAATTACTTAAAAAAGGCAATATCATGGGCCCATGGGAGGAACATTACTTCCGTCTCATACGTTGGAAAGAACATATATAAATATATATGTATATGTATGTATATATAGTAACCTTGAAAATCTTAATGTGGGCCACTTTTCATATATCTCAACTTGTGTGAAATTGTTTTGCTCATCAATGCTGCTTTAATATTAACAGAAACAAGATGCACATCGGTGTGGCTTTAATAATACTTATCAAAATTTCGCACACTTATTGTCTTCTAATTATTTCTAAAACTAGGATTTATCATAAAAACAGGAAAAGAAATTATACATATAATTTCGGGGATGCTTATTTTGATCGCTTTCTGTTCGTTCGTGCGTGTGTGTGGAGGGAGTCCAATGGTATTGGGTGTGCCTTTTGCATACAAGTCTGTTTAGGGTCCATTTGGATTAGCTATTAGAAAAATAGCTTGTTGTCAATTTAGCTTTTGAAAAAGTTAGATTGAATAAAAATTAAATTGAGTAATGTCAATTGTGTTTGGATTATATTTTATAAAAGTTAGTTTGTGAAAGTAAGTTGTTTGGATTATGATTGAATAAGTAATTTTAATTTGTAAAAATATCAAAATGAGTAAGACTTTTATTAAATAATGAAAAATAAAAAAATATCAATTTACATAATATAATAATTTTAAATTATTTATACACTCATGTTGATCTTATATATATATTTTATCATTTATTATAAGGACATATTTGAAAACAAAAAGTATATTTATAACTTATTTATTACTTTCAACTAATTTTAACTGATTTTTCATTATCCATAATTAGTTATTTGAAGCTTATAATAAGAATAAGAGGAGATAGTAAATTGCTTAGCTTTTTCTTTTTCCATATTTCAAAAGTTATAAGTCATAAATAGCTAATTTTTACTTATAACTTATTATAGCTTTTTATGCGAAAGTCAGATTGCTCCATTGCCAACTCAAACACCACAAATCTTTCAAACATGCTTCTATTTGAAAAAAAGTAACTTATTGCCCTCTAAACAGTGAGCCAAACAGGCTCTTAGATTTCGTTTGGTACGAAACATTAAAAATAAGAGATTGAGATTGAGATTGAAAGTGTAAAACTATATTAAAAGGATATTTAGTATGAGTAATTGTATGATACTTGGGATTAGACAAACCCATATATATGAGATTAGGGAATACCATAAGAGGAGGTGGTATTCTCCAATCCTATCTATATGGGATTGCTTAACCCCATGTGATAAGAAATCACTTATGCTAAGCATCTTTTTAACATATGTTTTCAATCTCAATCCCAATCTTAATCATTATTCCTTATTTTCAATACTCCATACCAAACGTAACCTTAGTATTTTTGCTATTTGTGGTTTCAATGAAATTGGAATGTCGATGGGCAGAATAAAAAACAAAAACCTTCTGTGGTTTACATGATAATTTGTTTTATTAGGAAATTTTTGTAGCGAATAAAATTCAAATACTATATCATGTCCTTAATATAAGATCTAGTTAACTAATTTAGGGAGATTTAAAAAGTTAGTTAAATTAGTTATTTATAATAATAAATATTATCTTTCTTAAAATACCTGTATTAATCATATATATTTGAATTATAAATTGATAGTAAGTCCTTAACATATGCAACCAGTATAAGGATTACTTGAAGGCAAAATAAATAAATATTAGAAATAAAATGGATTGAGATATTATATTTAGAATCAAATTAAAAGTCAAATTAGCTCTTATACTAAAAACTGGAGATTATATATGAGAGGAGGCCTATTTAAGAGATTAACAAACTCAGCAATTATTATTGTATAGTCGTATTCACATTATTTATTCATCAATGCCATACCGTACATATATCCCTCAAATACAAGAAATACGTACCGATTTCTTCCTTTCTTTGTTTTTTAAATCATCCCTCCGTATATACACTACATAAGTGCAAAGATATACATTATTGTACCACGCGACCACGCAAAGTGGCAAACTCAGAAAATTGGAATAAAACACGGGTTAATTGCACGTCTATGCTTTTTCCTTTTTCCAAATTATCATTCTATGTATGGCATGTATTATACTCTTCCATATCATTAATATAAAAACTATTTAACTAATTTGAAAAAATTAATTAAGAAAATTAAATAAATGAATTAACTATAACAAATTTGACATAGTCTTACTAAAATATGCATATATAATATTACATTATATATCATTTTATAAGTTAAGTAAATTAGTTTAGAAAAAATAAAATAATCAATATTAGAGATTAGGTGAACCAAGATTTTATATTTAAGACCAAATTGAACCATCAACACTCTTATATTAGGGACATGAGGGGGCTAGTAGTCTAGTACAACCTTTTACGGGTGATAAATATTATTAGTGGACTTAACTAAAATTATTCAGTTCATGAAGTAAGTCAAAAACTTTCTTAACTTGGAATTGACAGTGTGAGTAAACTTGCCCTGGCTAGATTCGGCTATATCATCATCCTCTCCACCTCTTTGTGGTGTTATTTGCTATAGACAAGTAGATCCAACATACTATCTCTAGTCCTTAATACAAGAACAAGTTGATTAGTTGACTAATTTGAATAGATTAAGAAAATTAATTAAATTAGTTATTTGTAATAAATAAGTATTGTCTTTTCTAAAATATCCTTACTAATCAAATGTATTAACTAGAACTATCATTATTACAATGACTACTTTAAAAATAAATAAATAAATATAAAAAGCAAAGTGGATTGGGGTCTTATATTTAGGATCAAAATAAAAATCAAACAAGTTCTTATATTAATGACCAGATGTGGTATTTAATTATATAGGACCTTGTTCCATTTAAGTTAATTATTTAATACATTTTATATAATTTATAGATAAATCTATCTGTGAAATTAAAAAAATAAAAAGAAGAAAATCAAATCCGAAACGTGAAACACGAAAAAGTAAATGAAGGGATTATGATTCAAAACGAAGAAACTAGCTGTCTTTCCCTTTCTCTGTTTTTTTTTAAGAGGAATTATTTTTTGCCCACTTGTTGACTTGTCTTCAATGGATGATACGATATAAATGAAGAATATGGATGGATCAAATTCCAAGCAAGTGCCACCGACAAAAAGAAACGCTGGAAGCATCTGTGCATTTGAATTAATTCGCTTGGAATTTTTGTTAATCTAAATGGTACAATTAAAATTCAAATAAAAATTAGTTAATTCTGCTTTCCTCTGGCTTTCCCTCATATATACACGAAAGTTTATAAATACTCTAAGGATTATATATTTCTAATACATATTTTCATATGTAATTGCACTCTGACCATTTGAATAGAAGATCAGGAAATATCACCGAACTTTTTTAACTGATATAATTGATCTTTTGAAAGCATGATGATAATATGGTATGTATTATCATATTATGCACACACACTTTATTTTCATTTAATCATATCACAAATATTTGAATATCTTTACCTTAAAACTTTCATTCTTAATCGAATATAATATTTATGCTGATCGTGCATGTATGCATATATTCAAACCAGAAAGGATATGTGCATATTTAATCTGGGACTCCTCTAATGTGCCGCCAATTATCCCTCACGTGAATGTTATAATATTAACCTGATACTTAATGTAACAGTTAATTGACTAATTTGAATAAATAAAGAAATTTTGTTAAGTTATTATTTGTAATAAATAGGTGTTGTCTTTTTAAGATACCCTTATTAGTTATGTGTATTAGCTAGAACTACCATTTGATGAAATATTTAATATGAGCAACTACTACAAAGATTAGCTTTAAAAAAATAGATAAATATAAGAAATAAAGTGGATTTGAGTCTCATATTTAAGACCAAATTAAAAATCAAACTAGCTCTTATGTTAAGGACCGGAAGTAATACTACCTCTAATCCCTAATAAAAAACTAGTTGACTAATTTAATTAGATTAAAAATACTAGTTAAGTTAGTTATTTGTAATAAATAGGTATTATCTTTCAAAATATTCTTACTAATCAAGTACATTGACCACAACTATCATTATTACAAGAATTACTTTAGAAAAAAATGGATAAATATGAGAGACGAAGTGAATTAGAGTCTTATATTTAGGATTAAAATAAAAATCAAACAAACTCTTATATTAAATACCGGAGGTAGTAATTTATATGCGATCATAATATTAAGATTTGCAATGATGAACATTGTGTGGAGAATTATTTCAGAAAAATTGATTAAAAAAAGTACTTGTTGAATTTCAAAATGATAAGTAAATAATTTAAATATATTTTAACTTGTCAAAACCATTACAATAGCAGTTAAAATTATTACAAAGCCAGCATAACTTATTTATCTTTTTTAAATTTAATATATATTTTTTGGTTATTTTCCCATTATTTTATCGTCTTGATTCTCTCGCTAATTACAAACCGAGTCCTACTATTTTAATTTTTGTTTCTTTAATTTGCCGGACCCTCTTCTTTCTTTTTGGACAATATGATTTCACAAATTCACGTACAATGCCAAGTAATACTCCCTCTAATTTTTTTGTAATAAGAAAGAATCTCTCTTATGATGATTTTTAAGTAATAAATTTTTTGTCTGAAATTTTAAATCAATCTTTTCATTTTACCCTCATTAAATATATATATACGCTTTACTTATTATCTCTCTGTAATAAAGTACTCTTATTTATGCTTATTATCTTTTTATAATAAATATTAACTCATGAGTATCTCTGATCTCCTTTACTCTCTTCATAAGTAAGGGGAAAATTATTGTACATGTGTTGCATATTTATTGTTTTTAATTAAATTTAATCAATATTTTGAATCATATGATTTTCATAATTATTTGTTATAAAAGGAAGCGGAATGAGTAATAAGTAATCAATAAAGCCCAGCATATAACTGGTAGATGGTTAGGTCCTTTAACGCCAGGAAAAGAATAATTTGGCCAGAAGCGTAGAAAGGGAGCAGGGTTGTTTATGGAGCAACAAGAAATAAGGAAGATATTTATATATATATATATATATAAGCATTATTCTATTACTATTTATAAGTCATTTGTGGGAGAAAAAAAAGTCATTTTATAAATATAAGTATCTTATAGGGTAATTAATAAATTTTCTTCAATTTTATCCCTATCAACTTTGTAAATGTAGAGAGAAATAAGATAAATATATGAGAAAAATATAAAACATAGGAATAATTACAATGAGATTCTAAGAAAAGAAAAAAAAATACCAAAAGGTTCTAATAAAAAGTTAGGAGTTATTATTCTTTACTATAGAACTTATCATTACAAGCTGTTTAGCTGTCAATAGAATTTTTTAGCAATTAGATTTCTTCCTTGAGACTTTATAATGCTTCCTAAAACATGTTGTTAATACCCTTTCCTTAACAAGGGCAAATTTTTTTTAAAAAAAATTACCGGCTTAATTAAATAGGACCTTGTTCCATTCAAGTTAATTATTTAAAACGTTTTATATAATTTACAGATAAACCTGTCTGTGAAATTTAAAAAAAAAAAAGGAAGAGAAATCAAATCCGAAACGTGAAACACGAAAAGAGAAATGAAGGGATGATGATCCAAAAAGAAGAAACTAATTGTCCTTCCCTTTCTCTGTTTTTTTTTTTCCAGAGGAATTATTTTTGCCCACTTGTTGACTTGTCTTCAACGGATGATGGGATAAAAGTGAAGAACATGGATGGATTACATTCCAAGCAAGTGAGACAGACAAAAAGAAAAGTAGGAAGCATCTGATTCCTTTGGAATTTCTCTTAATCAAAATGGCACAATTAAAATTCAAATACAAATTAGCTAATTCTGCTTCCTTTGGCTCTCAATTCCCTCATGTATACACGAAAGTTTATAAATAATATATAAAGATTATATATTTCTAATACATGTTTTCATATGCAATTGTGCATTGGCCATTAGAATAGAAGATCAGGTATCACCAAATTTTATGTAATTATCCTTTTGTTTTAATATAATTGATCATTTGATCAAAGTATAATAATAATATGGTATGTATTATGCACACACTTTATTTTTATTTAATCATATCACGAATTTCCAGCAAAAATGGTAAAAAAATACTAGTTGAATTTCAAAATGATAAATAGATCATTTTAATACATTTTAACTAGTAAAAAATATTACAAAAATAGTCAGCATAATTCATTTATCTCTTTGAAATTCAATAGATTTTTTTTTGGTTATTTTCCCATTATTTTGTCATCTTGATTCTCTCGTTAATTTGTGGTTGAGCACACGTGTCTTATGTAAAATTACAAACTGAGTCGAGTCCTATTATTATTTATGATATATATAAATAATATGATATGGCTATTTTCTAAATGAGTAATATTTCATGTGGAAGGTCAACATTTTAATTTTTGTTTCTTTAATTTGCCGGACCCTTTTTTTTCTTTTTGGATAATAGGACCCAACCTCTTGGGCTCAGTCGGATGTAACAGGCTCACAAATGCACGTGGTTTGAAGGTAATAAATTTTTTTGTCTAAAATTTTAATCTAATCTTTTCATTTTACCCTCATTAATTATATATATACACACACTTCACCTATTATTCATGTGCAATAAATTGTTCTTATTTATACTAAATATTTACTCATTATCTCTCTTTTACTCTTTTCATAAGTAAGGGAAAAAATTACTTTTTGTATTTGTTGCTTTTAATTAAATTTAACTAATATTTTGAGTAGTATGATTTTGATAGTTATCCCTCATGAAAAGAAACGGAATGAGTAGTGAGATTGGCAATCAATGAAGTCCAGAATAAGACTGATAGATTGCGGGGTCCTTTTTTTCGGTGGAAAAAAGTTTAGGTGGACTGGGTTCTAAGGGTTCACTAAGGTCAGGGCATGTTTTCAGGCTAAGAGAACACTTACAGAGGTATTTATAGATTGTCCACCAACAAGATCCTCATATCGGCAGTGACATTCAAACTCATGACCTTATAGGTTATGAATCGACTCTTTACCAACTAGATTAATTTTTGTTGGCAAATGGCGGGGTCCTTTAACTCCCTTGTTTGCTTTATTTTGTCTTACACCAAGAAAAGAATAATTTGGCCAGAAGTGTAGGAAGGAAGCAGACTTGTTTGGAGCAACAAGAAATAAGGAAGCTACATAACGACACACACGCATGTTACTCTGTTACTATTTATAAGTTATTTGTAGGAAAAAAAGTTATTTTCTATATATAAGTAACTCGTAGGATAATTAATAAATTTTTTTAAGTTTTATCCGAAACATAGAGAGAGATAAGATACATATATGAGAGAAATATAAAGTATAAGGATAATTACAATAAGGTCCTTAGAAAAGAAAATAAATACCAAAAATATTTCAACAACAAGTTAGAAGTTGCCGCTCTTTATTATAAAACTTATTATGATTACAGACTGCTCAGTTGTTATGGAATTTTTTAGTAATTATTTTTTTTTTTAGGCTTTATTGTAATTCTCTCTAAAACATATTTGTTAGTGCTCTTTCTTTAACAAAGGCAACTGTTAAAAAAAAATACCAATTCAATATGTTTTTGGTATAAAAAAGTTATAAATAGGAACGGAGAGATATATAAGAAACAGCAATATAATAGGGGCGTGTGTTAGATCGAGCCTATATATAGATCTCTTCCGTAGAGATCCTGTTGAGTTGTGTGTGCGTGTCTGTCTATACACATCGGAGAGAGATGAATTTGGATGGGGAGGTTAAGGGGGTGTTTGGAAAACCCAAAATCATGGTTTCAGAAGCACTTTTCCGCAAAACGAGGTAATCTCCTCCACATATTTACTTCGTAAACAGTAAAAACACTTCTGAAACCATGGTTTGGTTTTTATCCAAACACCCCCTTAAGAAGAATGAGGCAATTAGGGAATTGCGTCTTGGGTTAAGGATGCGAGATTGGGGGGCTGTGCTGCGCACAACGAGGGGCCTGCCGCCATGTGCAGAGCTGTGGCTGGCCAAGATGAACAAGTGGGCTGACACTGTGCTGCACGCAGCTATCATTTATGGGACACCAACCCGCACCGTCGATGAGCTGTTCGAAGAAATGCCCAGACCGCCAGACGTGAAGAAGACGTCGTGGAGATTCTGTCAGCCAGGAATCAGTGGGGCAACACTCCTCTTCACTGCGCCGCCGATAGGGGCTCTTACCCCTTGTGTCGCCGCATCCTTGATGCCCTTTCCACCGCACAACACAGAACTCGCGCCGTAATTAATTCAATCTCTTTTATTGATTACATGACGCACACGCATCTGCATGATGAGATTGAATCTTAATTGTTCTGTTTTTAATTAAAAACATACTTCATGATTCTTTTTTTTTAAAATTATTTTTTAACGATATTAATGGTCTGAACTAAAATATCTATATTTTTAAATTTGAAAGAAAATATGTGTAATTAAAGCAAAATAAAATAGTGGTTAGAATATTTCACTCTAATTATTAACGTTGCAGAGTGTAACTAGCATAGAGAGGGGCAAGGGGGCATCCATCTCTAGTGCTTCAACTTTTGAAATGTTTTTTCTCCCCCTATTCATTATTAGATTTTACAAAAAATAGGTGACATATATCTAATGCTGCAGTTTTGAATTCTTCACAATTTCTATATATATAGATATATATATTAACTGTGCAGTTTTAGATATTTTTTAAAAAAATATTAAAAAATTTAGATTCATACAATTGTTTGTCCTTCAAATTTGTTTTTATTTTGGTTTAGGTCTCTCAAGTTTCTTTCTGTTTAAAATATTGATTCCTATAATTCAATAAAAACCTAAACCATCTTGTCTATTGAATGGCCAAAATCTATAGTTTGAAACTTAAGAGATCAAAATTAAAATGAGAACAAATTTGACTTATCAAAGATTATATTAACCCAAAAAATTTAAACTCGCATTATTTTATACTATATATTGACACGTCACTTGCTTTATATAAAATTTAAAACTTATTGATGATGACGATGATGATATTGAATGCTGATTATTAAGCTTCTGGTGCGCAACAACGAGGGAGAGACGCCTTTGTTCTTGGCTGCTGTTCATGGTCACCCGGCGGCCTTCCTCCTTCTCTATGACTATGCAGGACCTGAGCATGCCACAGCTCCTTACGTGAAGCCCAATGGGGAATCTGTACTTCACGTAACCATTCAGCGAAAGTACTTCGGTCTGTGATTTTACTTATTTTAAAAATAAGTTAGTTAATTAGGTCTTCTACTCCCTTCACTATAAAATGTAAGTTACTTTTTAGAATTTTTTTCAATCCATAGTATAAATTATTCTGAGAATAATTAATACTTATTTCCTAATTTTATCCCTTTAATCAATGCTTAAATATGACTCCTCATATTTTTCTCTCTTTCTTTCAAATCCTTAATAATTGAAGACGGGTTTAATTACAAGTTATTTTTTCTTCCATAGTTCTAATGATGATGATATGGTTAAAAAGGACTAATATATTTTGGACTAGAGGTATTGTATGTTTAGGATCGAATGGAATGGAATAATACGTTATTCAAAATGACATTCTATGATGGTTTAGTTAATTAATGGAATCCTTTGCTTGATAAATAGTACTAAAGTATATACTACTTCCAATTTTTAACATAAGAATTAGTTAAAAATTTAATTGAGTCATAAATATAAGACCTCAATTAACTTTTTTTTAATACTTCTCTGGTCCTATTTATAGGGCAAAGAGAAAAGGCTTTTTTTTATCCTATTTATAAGTCATTTCAGTAAATTTTTATCATGAATGTACTATATTGTCCTTCATTTATTATAGTGTAGATAGTTTTTTTTTTTGAAAGGAGTATATATTAAATAGGGGTAAAGTTAGAAAGTTGCTATATTTTAATAAAGAGTTAATGTATTTTAAGATTTTTCTTAGTCTGTGTGAAACATATTGGAAGTGCCTTATAAATAGGACTAGAGGAGTATTTATCTATTTTTCCTTTGAGTGATTTTTATAGTGATTGCACATGTCGAGGAGTTACTATAGTAATTCAAGTACCCATGATTAACAAGGTTGTGTCAAGAAAAATAACATATATTTATTTCAAATGACTAATTCAAATAATTTTCTTAATATTCATAAATTAGTTAGTTATCTAGCTTTTTATATAGTAATATAGTACCCCCGATTCTAAATATAAGAGTTGGTTGACTAGTTTGAGTAAATTAAAAAAATAAGTTAAGTTAGTTATTTATAATAAGTAGGTGTTATCTTTTCTAAAATATCCTTACTAATCAAGTGTATTGGCTAGAACTATCATTATTAGAAGGACTACTAAAAAAAATGCATAAATATGAGAGACAAAATAGATTATATTTATGATCAAAATAAAAATCAAATTAGATTTTATATTAAGAACCAAAGGCAGTAATTGAATTGAATTGATCATTAATGCAGAATTATCATTACTATTAATGGGTCTCCTCCCCGACATGGTTCCCGTCATCGATTGAAAAGGGCAGGCACCTCTGGACATCCTGGCCTCTATTCCTTCGGTATTTAGGAGTGGCACTCCCCTTAGTTTGTGGGAGAGTCTTCTCTACCTCTGTAAGTGCGCCCACCTCCATCAATCCATCTGGAATTTTAATTAATTTTCTTTTTTTATTTAGTTTTATTCTTATTAATTAATTACTATCTTTGATCTCTAATATTAGAGTTACTTAACTAATTTGAGTGGATGAAAATAAAAATTATTTAAATTAGTTATTTGTAATAAATATGAGTTTATTTTCTTAAAGTATTCTTTTTAATATAATCATGACTATCTTTGAATAAAAATCTTTTGATATGTGTAATTAATATGAATATTTTAAAAATGAATTACAAATTAAAAAAAAAAGTGAATTGAGGTTAGGATTCCTTGGGTCATAATTTTCGATCCCACCTTCTCTCCTCATGCGAAGTCATATCTGATGTGGCTGCTCATTCAGATACACACACATATATACTTTGCCCATTGGATACAGCAATGGATGACAAGGATAAAATTTCTAAAAGGAGTTTTTAATTTTGAGTGGAAAAATTTATAAAAGGAGTCAGTGTTAACATTTTTAAGTCAGTTAAATATTTAGAAATTGAGTCGTACTCAATCGTAATTAAATCACTGGTCATGACTGACTTAAAAGTTAAAGCAGCCAAGAAGATTAATTTTTCTTAATTAAAATGACGTTGCTGACGTAATGATCATACTCCTATTTCCGAAGTCATCCCGATCCGTCCCTCGCATTCCTTTCGGGCGCGTTCAGATTGGGATAATGCTAGACACCCTGATCAGCTTCCCACCCATGGAGCTCTTTTCACTTTCAGATCGACCCTTTTAGGGAGTAACATAGGTAATTAATTATTAATTTTAATGCTTAATCAGATCTTTTCATTTACCAATATTCGACTCCTTATTATAAATTGCTTATAGAAGAAATATTTTTAGTTCGAAACATAAGTTCATTTAGAGTGTTATTACTCATTAATAATTATTTTTTCAATCTTACTCTTATTTAATTATCATTGGAAAGAAAAGAAAGAAAGAAGATTCAGAGTTAAAAATTATTTATACATACCAGGAGAGAATTTTAATAAGAATAAACTTGAAAAAATTATTAATTTGAGACATATTTAGTTATAATTTAACCATACGTGAAAATTAGTTAAAAATGATTTACATATGGTAAGTAGGAGGGCTTGTTTGGCATCATGATCATAAGTACTTTTAATCATGTCTTATGTAAGTCAAAACAAAACTTCTCGTACATACTCACCTCGTATTTTATAAATCATTATTAAAAAGTGACTCAAAACTTAATATGTCTGTCCATGATTGGCAGAGAAGATATTGAGACATGTGTTTGGATTAGCGTTGGCAAAGAAGAAAAAGACACATGTATTTGGTTCGCTGATCATGAAACAGCTGGTAGACAATGACGCTTTTTATGATAATTTGATGGAGATGGAGGTGTTGGGGATAGACGACGATCAGCCGGCGAACTTACCAATGCTGCGTCCTTCATATAATAAAGGTACTTGGATCTTAAAAATAAATTAAAAAAATGACTTTCTTTAATTAATTTTATTATTTTTGTTTTCATTTGGGTAACTGATGATAAGTATGCATGTGCATGCAGCATCATTATTAGGATGGGCACCATTGTTGAGAGCAACAAAAAATGGTGCGATCGAAATGGTGTGGGCAATCTTGGATAAAAAGCCATTTGCAGTTGAGGATGAAAGTGATGAGAAGAAGAATGTGATGTTGGTGGCGGTAGAAGAGAGACAGTCCACCCTATTGAAGCAATTCATGAAGAAGCCATCCATCTGGAATCGGAAGCTCCATCATGCATCCGACGTCCATGGCAATACTGCCTTGCACTTGGTCGCCATGCTTTGTCGTCATAGCCTTATACCTATGTCTGCCAGTCACTTGCAATGGGAAATCCGCTGGTTTGATGTGTGTGTGTGTGTGTGTGATCACTTAGCTTAATTAATACGAGTAATTTCTAGCTATCATTCAACTGTACATGCGTATGTATTTATGTATGCAGTATGTGAAGGATATGATGCCGCCGGAGTTCAGTAAACGGAAAAATAAGGAAGGCAAAACGCCACGGATGGTCTTCATGGAGGAACACCATGATCTGCTACAAAAAAGTAGCAAATGGGCGAAGGAAATATCCGGAAATTACATAGTGGCGGCGACGCTTATTTCCGGCGTGACCTTTGCAACGTGCTACCAGATCCCGGGAGGCTACGACGGAGGCAACGGCAGGCCGATTGTAGGCAAACTATGAATTCTACATGTTTGCTATCACGGCACTGGTTTCCTTTTGCTTCTCCGTCACTTCCCTCTCCGCCTTTCTTTCCATTTACGGCTCTCAAAGTGATCGGCCCGAAATGTACTGGAGACTTCTGCCGTCGTCCCTGTGCTTTGGTTTAGCTTCTCTGTTTCTCTCAGTTGTGTCCATGTTGATTTCTTTCTGTGCTGCGCATACCTTTGAACTTTTTGGCCCCATAAACAGGTCGTCTGCGTATGTCCCCTTCTACGTTGGCCTCACTTTAGAAAGAAAGGCTAGGGTAAAATATTGAATATGCCGAGACCATCTATTGTGCTCTGGCCTCCTGTATTATATATATCAGAAAGAATAGAGAATCTTCGTACAATACAAAGGGAATATTACAAATGAATAAAAGAGAGCCCTACACGTGTTGAACTATACAGCTGTATATGATAAGCTTAAAACTATACAAATAATATTTATATTAATGTTCAAACATTCCCCCTCAAACGAGAGGGTGTCTTCGACAGTCCGAGTTTGTTTCTGAAATCAGAATATTGAGAGTGAGACAATGCTTTTGTTAGGCAATCAGCAACTTGATGTGAAGAGGGTACATATCGAACATCCAGAAAGCCAGAAAGAACTAGATCTCTAATAAAGTGAATATCAATTTCTATGTGTTTGCTTCTTGCATGATGAACTGGGTTTGCTGCAAGTGCTCTGGCACTAAGATTATCACACCAAACTATCGAAGGCTGTTTTATCCTGAGTCCAAGTTCACACAATAATGAACTTAACCATTTAATTTCAGCTGCACCATCAGCGAGTGCCCTATACTCAGATTCTGTGCTAGATCTAGACACAACCCGTTGCTTACGAGACATCCAAGAAACCAGTGTTCCACCAAAGTACACACACACTCCAGCCATGGATTTTCTATCATCAACATCGGTAGCCCAGTCTGCATCTGTAAAGGCCACTAACTGAGGAGAAGAAATAGGCTTAATGTTTAAACCGAGATAATGAGTCCCTTTGAGATATCGTAAAATTCTCTTTACTCCTTGAAAATGAACATCAGTTGGCTTTGACATAAATTGACTGAGTTTGTTGACTGCAAAAGCTATGTCTGGACGTGTTGTAGTGAGATATTGCAGAGACCCAATAGCTTTTCTGTATAATGAGGGGTCTTTCATGAGCTCACCATCGTTGATGGAGAAATAGCGTCCTGTAACCATTGGTGTACTCACAGGTGCACAATCTAGCATACCAAACTTCTTCAAGATATCCTGTATATATTTACTTTGATTCAAATAAAAACCGGACCTATCTCTGTAAATTTCCAAGCCAAGAAAGTAGTACAGAGGTCCTAGATCCTTTAATGAAAACATAGCATTCATCCTCTGAATAAATTGCTTCAAATATGAAGAGTTATTACCAGTCACAAGAATATCATCAACATAAATTAGCACAAAGACTATGACAGAATTTGTACGCAAATAGAACAAAGAGATATCACTCTTGGCATTTTGAAAACCCCATTGATGCAAAGTGTCTCTTAGTCGATCAAACCAGGCCCTTGGAGCCTGTTTAAGTCCATAAATGGCTTTAATCAACTTGCACACATGATTCGGCCTCTGTGGATCATGAAAACCTTCCGGTTGATGCATAAAAACGTCCTCTCTAAGATACCCATTTAAAAATGCATTGTTCACATCAAATTGTCTTACCTCCCAATTGAAAGTCGCTGCAATTGTAAGCACAACACGAATAGTTGTCGGTTTGATAACTGGACTGAAGGTTTCTCCATAGTCTATCCCTGGTACTTGTTGAAAACCTTTAGCCACCAAACGAGCTTTATGCTTTAAAATTGACCCATCAGCCTTGAATTTAGTTTTAAACACCCATTTGCAGTCGACAAGTTTTTGAGAGCTATTACGAGGAACTAGGATCCATGTTCTATTCTTCTGCAAGGCAGCAAACTCATCCTTCATTGCTCGCAACCAGTGAGGCATCTGTAAGGCTTCACCAACAGTGAGTGGTTCAGACGCACTAATGAGAGAATTCTGATTTTCAGATTGGAGGAGCCCAATAAAAGGATGTTTGGGCTTAAATATTCCATCCTTGGATCGAGTGATCATGTGATGCTGATTTCCTTGGACATGTGGAGGCTGGACTTCTTGGGCCGATGAGTCCAAAGAGTTGGAAATAGAAGGAGAGTTTAGTAGAGAATTTTGATCCATAGAGCTAGCCGTTGGAGATGCATCTCTGTCATGGGACCCATTCTGCACTGATCGATTAATGACTGGTAAAGGAGAGTCACGTGCTGCTGGAATAGAACCCAATAAAGAAGTCTCTGTTGAGGAAGATGAAGGACTCATCTCTGAAGCATCTAGCCGAGGAGAATTAAGCATCTGCAGAGAAATATCACCACCAGATTCTGGATTAGAAGATCTGCGATTCAAGAATCCTGTTACAAAAGGAAAAAGTGATGGATCAAACACAACATGTCGAGAAATATATATTCGACCAGTGGCACTCAAGCATTTGAACCCTTTGTGTTGAGCTGCAGGTCCAAGGTATACACACTTCTGACTATGAAATTGAAACTTATGATTGTTATAGGGCTTGAGACACGGATAACAGGCACAACCAAAAGGTTGTATACTATGATAATCTGGTTCTACTCTGTATAGTTGAAACAGAGGCGTTATACCATTTAGCACTGGAGTTGGAAGGCGATTTATTAGAAACACAGCAGCCTGAAAAGCATCAACCCAATAAGTAAGAGGCATTCTTGCTTGAGCTAATAAAGTCAATCCCATTTCTACAATATGCCTGTGTTTTCTCTCCGCTCTGCCATTTTGTGGTGATGAATATGGACAAGTATATCTCAAATTAATTCCCGCAGCTTGAGCCACAGGAATAAAAGGCTTATATTCAGATCCATTATCACACTGTAGTTCTTTGATTTTTGCATTAAGCTGATTCTCAACAAGAGCTCTAAAAGTATTGAAGGCATTGACTGCTTCTCCTTTATTTTTCAGTGGATATATCCATGTATATCTGCTATAGTCATCGACAAAATGAATGTAAAAACGATGTCCATGTATTGACTGCACTGGAGATGGACCCCAAAGGTCCGTGTGGACTAATTCTAACGGAGAAGATGCATGAGAGACAGACTGAGGAAAAGGTAACAATTTAGATTTACCAAATTGGCATGCTTCACAAACAAAGTTTTCATTAACAGAAACTTTCTCATTACATTGATTCAATATTTTCTTTAGAACTCTACTACTGGGGTGTCCTAATTTGCAATGCCATCTAATAAAGTCTTCCTCTCCAGAAACTCCAAAACGTGCTGTATGAACTTGAGGCTGAAACTTCTGTCCATTAAACATTGGATATATTCCTTGCTTCGGTAGCCCTTGCATCAACAGTTGACCGGTTACCTTGTCCTTCACAGTGCAGCCAGAGTCAGAAAATTTAACATCAACGTAATTATCCTCAACAAGTCTGTTAACACTCATCAAATTTTTAGTTGCAGAGGGAACTACAAGCACATCCTTAAGATGAAGATTGGAATTATAACAAGAAACAGAGGTAGAACCTATACCAGTTACTTGGCTCTTTTCTCCAGTACAGGTAGTGATGTGAGACTTACCAATTTGAGTAACATTATCAAGGTTTTCTGGATGTGGTGTCACGTGATAATTGGCACCACTGTCCATGTACCAATTTGGGTCAGCCACAGTCTGAGAGTTTGCATAAAATGCTTGAGGGGAGTACCCATTTGAATAACCATTGTGAGCTCTGCCATATTCAGAGGGAGGACGAAAATTTCTGTCATACCTGTGGAAACAATGAGCACTAATATGTCCAAAATGTTCACAAAGATCACAATACGGACGACCACCATCACTGTCACGATTGTGGCTGTTTCCCCCTCTGCGACCACGTGAGCGTCTACCTCGCGACCCTCGGATGCCCCTCCAGGAACCACCAGTGTAGTCACGACGAGAAAAATCAGAGGAGCGAAAAACAGAGTCACGACGGTTTTGAGCAAAGTTGGCAGAAGGTTGCAGGGACAATGAAGAAAAATGATTGAGCTGCTCCAACCTTGTTTCAAAGGCAAGAAGGGAGGCCTGAGCATCAATCCAGGTGAGATCGACTTTATCAACTAGCTTGACAACCACAGCATTGTAGTCAGCATCCAAACCATTTAAGGTATGTAAAACGAGATCCTCGTCGGATACAGGGGTACCAGCAAGAGCAAGCTGGTCTGCTAAGTTCTTCATTTTACCTAAATATTCCTCCATCTTCATCCCATTTTTGCGGGTCTGTGTGAGTTCAGATTTGAGAACCATTGTGCGAGCCTTGATCGCAGCACAAGTCAGAGAGCGGGCTCCATTCCACAACTCAAGTGCCGTTTTGCAATGCAAAAGCTGGGTACCAACGTCTTGCGTCATAGTATTCCGCAGCCAGCCAACGAGCATCCTATCAGTAGCATACCATTCTTCAAAAGCGGGATTCACCTTCACACCAGCAGCTTCTGGAATGAGTTTCGGTGGAGGGGTAGCAGAGGAGCTGATATGAGCTTCAAGCTTATTGCCTTCGATCAGAGGGAAAACAACAGATTCCCAAAAAAGAAAATTAGTGCGATCCAGCTTAATCGCACTTGTTTGACTGGAGGAGTTAAACAATGAATATGTTTTTGGGCTCTGTGAAGAAAAACCATCAGAGGTCGCCGCCGTTGAGTCAGACATGGTAGGGTAAGGCTCTGGTACCAAGAAAGAAAGGCTAGGGTAAAATATTGAATATGCCGAGACCATCTATTGTGCTCTGGCCTCCTGTATTATATATATCAGAAAGAATAGAGAATCTTCGTACAATACAAAGGGAATATTACAAATGAATAAAAGAGAGCCCTACACGTGTTGAACTATACAGCTGTATATGATAAGCTTAAAACTATACAAATAATATTTATATTAATGTTCTAACAACTTTGATCCCTCTCTGCTTTTACTGGGCAACTCAAAGTCCACTCTATTGGCATCTTCTCCATGCTAGTTTTTCTCCTATGCCACTCCCCAGGCCATTCTATGTGGAACCGTTAGAAGAAAAGCCGCCAGATGAAGAGGAGAAGAACAAGAAGAAGAAAAGATAAAGACGAAGGGAAGAAAAAGAAGAAAAATGAAGACGCAGAGGCATGGGAAGAGAAGTTTAAATGGTTCTTATGCTTTCTTTGCAAAATAAAGAGAATTTTATTATGTGAAACAGTAGCATTTGATTATTTACAAATAACTTTATTTTGTTTTAGATGAAAATACAACTTTGCTAATGGTGTTTTGTGGGCTCTACAAATGTATTCAATCGACTCAGTTTCGGTGCTAAGCATGCTGATGAGCACTGAGAGCTCATCATTTATGCGCATCGTTTTAACAAAGTCAAGAACGAGTTCCCTCTATTCAATTGCCATGCGACCTCGTTCTCTGAGATAAAGTCAAGGATGTTCCCTCCATTCAAGGCAAGTTCTATTTTTTTTTCTTTTTTAATAATATGCAAGTTCCAAATTTTCGCTTCTCTTCTTCTTCGAAGAAAGTACCAGGGCCAGTCTTTAATCAAAGTCTCCTGGAGAAAACTCGAATGTTTCAACATAAACCTCCTCCGCTGTTGTTTAAGGGCAGCTTTGGTTATTGGATACCAACTCTCCTTTTCATGAGGCAGCCATTCAAGAAAAACTGGATATTTTCTCAATTAAAAAGCAAGTCTCAATCTGCCCCAAAGCACAATCACGGGATGTCATCGTCTCGAACTTTCTGCAGCTCTTAGACTTTTACTTTTGATCATTTTAAAGTAGCTGCTTCGGGTAGTCTTGTTTTTTTCTAGTGTAATGAACCTTTAAATCTGTATCCCTACTTAATTAATGCATTTTGCCTTTTCATTAAAAAAAAAGGGAAAAATACCAACGGCAACTGTCCCAGCAGAAGCAGAAGCAGAAGCAGAATCAGAAAAAATGTCTCTGAAAGATCAAGACAACGAATTTTTCAAGCCAGAGAAGTGAAAGCCGCAGCACTTTGCACCCCAACTATCAAGCAAGATCCTTCAAACCTACTCTCTATAGGCACCTCCTGAAGCATCTTGCTGAGATTATTGATCAGGTGTTCACCTGCGCATGAAGATGATGCCGAAGAAGAAGGGGGAACGAAGACAGAAGACAAATTCTAGATCGCTTATCATCGAACGGTCAAGATCATTTTGAACTTTAATGAAACGGTGCGTAGGAAAGATGAGCTGAGCTCCTTATACTCATCAAGCCACTTCGCACTGAAACTCGTTCCGTATTCAATTTCACCAACTCAGGTGATAAATCCCAAACTCATTAGGTTTTAACCATTTATATTTAAAATTAAAAATTTTAATTATTTATTTTTAAATAAAAAATTATTTTTTGAAAAGAATAATAATTAAAAAATTATTTTTATTTTAGACGAAAACGAAATTAAATATGTACTCTCCGAATCATGTTTGATGAGCACTCGAACCCATTTCCTAATTTCACCACATCAAAGCAAGCACGGGGTTCGCGTCCTGATTCTTGTCCTCATTGATTAATTTTGGACTTTCATTTTAGAGCCACCACACACCATTTACTTCGAATCTTTCACACGATAATAAAAAATAATCAACTTAATTAATTTTTTTAAATTTTCATGAACTAGTTAACTAGGATTAATATTCAGGACAAGAGGGTCATTGTCTATTTTAAATGTTCTCACTCATCGATCAATTTAGAATTTACTCCTCATTATTTTATCAACATTTATAATATTAAAATATGTAATAAATGTCTCTCTAAATTACGTACCGTGCAGCAGGCTTAATAAAGTTCACCCTGGTTTTGTTCACGAAAATTATTAAAGAGATTTTGTCAGAGTAGGTCAATTATATTGCCCCATAACATCATAGTTAGTCAGGATGATGTGAAATTATACAAAAGGAAAATTTCATCTCTCCTATATGTGTTATGAAGGGGGACCTAAGAAGGTATATGACATGGTGGAATGAATATTTATCATCCATTGACTCCTTAAAGGGATGGACTTAATTGGCTTTCTGTTGCTATGAATGATGAGGTTCGCATCATGACTACTTTCTGGGAACAAGAGGTTAGAATTAAGATGAAGATGATGATCAAAGGGTCCCAAAACAAGAAACATTTTCAAAGAGAAACAAACATCTTTTTTTTTAAAAAAAAAAAACAGAAAGAGAAGAAGAAAACCAAAATCATCCAAAACATGTATGAAACACGAAAAGCAAACAAACAAACGTGTCATTTAATTTTCTCTTTCTCTTTCCTTTTTGAAAGGAAGCAGGTGTCTTTTATTTTTCCTTGAACTGAAGGCAGGAAGCATAAGCATTATTTTTACTTTTAAAAACTCATACTTGAAATATCCCCTAAAATGGGAAGGGAAAAAAAAAACAAAGTATACATATGAAGATACTCCCTCTAATTTTTAATATAGGAACTAGTTAGGATTTGCATTTGATCATAAATATATAACATCTCGATCCATTTAATTTGTTTCTTATATTTATCATTTTTTTGAACTAATTTAGATATCTTATAAATTAATATATAATTTAATATTACGTAGGGATATTTTTGGAAGATTAAATCACATCTATTATAATTGATAAACTCATCTAACTTTTTAATCTACTCAAATTTAATGGTAAAGTGTTATTTACCTTCAAATTGAAACTTGCATGATAAGATGAATTGCACAGCCCTCTTTTTTCTTTTCTTAAAAGTCACACCGATGTGCAGCTTGTTTATGTTAATCTTAGAAGACAATTGATGAGCAAAACAATTCTGCAGACAGGTTGGAATATATGAAAAAGTGGCCCACATGAAGATTTTCAAGGTTATTACTACCTCCGGTCCTAATTATAAGAGTCAGTTGACTAATTTGAGGAGATTAAGGAAGTAAGTTGAGTTAGTTCTTTGTCCTAAGTAAGTGTTGTCTTTCCTAAAATATCCTTACTAATCAAGTGTATTGACTAAAACTATAATTGTTAGAAGGGCTATTTTAAAAAAAAAAGTATAAATATGAGAGATAAAGTGGATTGAGGTTTTATATTTAGGACCAAAATAAAAGTCAAACAGGGACTTATATTAAGGACCGGAGGTAGTATAATATATATTCTTTCCAACGGATGAGACGAAAGTAATCATATTCTTCCCATCATGGGGCCATGATATCATACGGCTTTAGCTTGCCTACATAAATCATCACAAAGCTCCGTCTGGTCTTAGTCATCATTAATTAATTCCTGCTGTTCGATCCATCGATCCCTTGCACCCCACGTAAGATAGTCGTAAAATCAGTTTTAGTTTGAAATGGCAGAGTTCCGTTTTGTTTCCGAAATGGAAGCGCTCGATTTGATGATGAGCAAGGGAATGGAACTGCGTTTTGCAGTGAAGAATCGAAAATGGAATCATGTGGTGGAGATTTATAATGATCCAGAGGTTCAGAAGAGCAGGATCAACAGGTGGGGAGACACGGCATTGCGCGCCGCCATTGAGACAGAGGACACTACTACTGTCAAACTATTGATCGATGCAATCAAATTCCAGCAGCGGGGAGATGACGAAGCCCTAGACATTCTGTCACTGAAAAATGACACAGGCAATACTCCTCTTCACTGCGCAGCCTCTCCTTTCCTCATCTGTGTTGCCATCATCACAATGCTCCACAAATCACTGGTAATAATAAGAATGATGTCTTTCTTTGTGCAACTTCATTACTTGAAGGGAATTAATCTCAACTGTAATATTAATATATTGAACCCTGCAGATCTTGGGTTGCGTAATAACAACGGAGAGACTCCTCTCTTCTTGGCTGCATGCTCTTCAGGATCACCGACAGGCCTTCCTCGTTCTCCACCGTGCTGCCGGTGAAGATAGCCCACTGCATTGGAGAAGGAACAACAGTGACACTATCCTTCATTGCACTATTAGGAGAGGATACTTCGGTACGGACACCAATGCAGTAACTAGCTATCTAATCAAATAAGGGCTACTAGCCAGCTAATTTTTATTCTTTTGGGGCACTACTTGCAGAATTGTCGTTGATTATAATTCAACGTTGCCGAGGCATCTCAGTCCTTGCCAATGAGAAGGGCGAGTCACCTCTAACGTATTATTAAATTGCAACTATATATATATATCTCGTATACTATCTCTAATAATATAAGAGCTCGTTTGATTTTTATTTTGATTATAAATATAAGACCATAATTCACTTTCTCTCTCATAATTATCTTTTTTTTTTCTAAAGTAATCTTTATAATAATGATAATTCTAGTTAATACACTTTATTAGCAATGATATTTTAAGAAAAATACCTATTTATTACAAATAATTAACTTAACAAGTTTTCTTAATCTACTCAAATTAATCAACTAGTTCTTATATTAAGGACAAGAAATAGTATATTATTAACATTATTCATTCACAGTATGTGCAGGGACTTATGCCCGCTTACTTCGTGAATGAACCAAACTGTGAGGGCGAGACTCCAAGGATGATCTTCGAGAAGGAACACGGTCGGATGTTGAAAGTAACTGAAATCTGGGTGGATAAAATGTGTGGGAATTACATGGTTGCCACCACGCTTATTTCCAGTGTTACGTTTGCGACTTGCTTCCAAATCCCAGGGGGTTATGACAGCCAAAAGGGCAAACCAATTGTAGGATCTACCAACACCGCATTTCAATTGTTTGCTATAACCGCACTTGTTTCCTTTTGCTTCTCCATCACTCCTTTGGCTGCCTTCCTTGCCATTTACTCCTCACGAAGTGATCAGTACAGGCATTATCGTCGAGCTTTGCCCTTGAAGCCTCTCGTTGGCTTTTTCTCCTTGTTTGTCTCCATTATCTCCATGTTGTTTGTCTTCAATACATCATCAATTGACTCCACCAGCTTTGATGACAGCTCCTTGTACTGATCTGGGTTGAGGTACTTAAAACACAAATTTCCTAACTGTTCCTTCCAACTGGATATTCCCAAGCGATTAGCCAAAGATGCAAAAATCTCCAAGGTCTCTTTTGCAAACCTTTGTTGCTTTTCTAATGGCAATGCGTCTAGTGTCATCATATTATGTAACCGATCTGCCAATTTAATAAGGACAGCTCTTGCATCAGCCATGGCAAGGAACACAGTATGCAGCCGGTCTGCCTCAGCTGATTTGCTAGCAGTATCATTATCCCGTGCAAGCTTGCTTAAGTGGCTCAAATTAGAAACCTGATGAAATGCCATAAAGACTAGTGAGGATCTTCAAAGGGTAAAACCATCACAACTCCAAAAGTTCTAACTAAAGACATTTTGGGGTATAAATTCCAAATTTCAAGCCGCAAAATCACTCGGAGAATATGAAAAGGAGCTGCTCAATTCTTCCACTCGGTCGTGGCTCAAAGTGCCCAGTTCTTCTCCTCCGCCAGATAAGCTCGATAACGGGGCATGCTTAACCGTCGGTGAAGAGAACAAGCAGGAAAGGCCACCCATTAATGACTTCTGAGACGTGGATGCCGTATTCGAAGACAACGAAGAAGATCGAGACCCCAATTCTAAGTCAGACGCATGCCCATTGATCTGGCAGGATTGCGGTGTCGAACAAACACTGCTTGGAGCGCTGCCGTATAAAGCTATAGTCGAAACCGCCATGCTCGATAACTTGCAGCGTCTGCTTCTTCTACAGTTGGATTAGAGATTCCCAGCTCAAGGAATAAGAAATTTTTTTCAGATATACTCGAATAACCCCAACCAATTCTGCAGAATAACCTAATTATTTACAAGCTCTTTCAGAAACCAGGAAGCAATTTCTGGACAGCCCAATGATTTTCAGACACCCAAATCACTTTACTCTTTTTCACCGACCTAGTTACTATTCACCGATGCCGAGTTTCAGAAAAGTGACACAACCAGAAGAAAAGTATCTAACTTGTCTGTCTGTACAGAGAGGAAACGGAGGGAATTCAAAGATTCAAAATCAAAATCTGATTGGAATTTATAGTAAAGGAGGAGGAACTGAACTAGTGTATTTACATAATAATGTCTACAAAGATGGGAAGATATAACAAACAATGAAGAAAGAGCCCTAAATAGAGGAGAAATTACAAGATATTAACCCTAAAGCTTTCAAGGAAAGAGAGTATGAAAACATGGGCAATGGAGAAAGGGAGAAAAGCTGCATCTTGTATGTTATTTTCAGTGGCTCCGCGGAATTGGCTTTCTCCAGGGGCAGGGGCCATGGAAAGCAAATGTGCAATTACTGAGTTGCCCCTCGACCGCAAGCATATTTCTTTTTTTTTGGTCCGAATGCCATGGATGGGATCGGATCTGGGTTTCTGCTCGATAAATCTAGACAAAACTTAAGGGTTAAAAACTCTGGTAAAAGAAAGAGAGTTAGAAAACGTAGATATGAGGTTGGCCAAAAAAAAAAAAAACAAAGGGTATGAGAAATGAGAATATAATACGAGGGAATAAAGCGGTGCTCTTTTTTGTAAAAAGAAAAAAATTAGGTGAGATCTCGAATCAAGATTAATTAATATTTTAATAATAGCAGATGCTCTGCCTGCCTGATAAAATCGTCCAGTAAACTTTTTTTTAAAGAAAATTTAAAAAAAAACTGTTGAATTTTAAAATTCCAAATCAGTATTAGTTATTATAATAGTAAAGAAAATGACTAAACTTAAAAAGTAAATAATAACATATTTTTGTAATAATTTCTGATTTGTCATTTTGAAATTTAACAATTATTTTTTTGATATTTTTTTTATTGAGATTTTTGGATTTGATGTAATAAGACAAATAAATTGCAATTGTTTTATCTTTATTTTATTTTTTACTCTAATTTAATTATAAATATAATTTCCTTATCAAAATAAGAAACTTTCTTACGGTAATCAAATTTGTATTCCTATTCTAAGATATTGAAATTTTTTGCCAGCCATTGTAAAATATTACACCTCCATCCTCCTTAATCATATATATTAGATAATTAAAATTATTTCTCAGTGGGAACCTTTATAATAAATAGAGATATTTTGGGGGAAAAATGGAAGACAAAGTGATATAATTTTTAATGATTTGAATTTTCTTTTTACTAATTTAGTACTATCTTCAGTTCTAATTATAAGATTTTGTTTGTAGTCTATAAATAAGGTTTTATAATTGAAACTAGAAGTTGTATGTTATTGTTGCTTGTTGCTTGTCACTTTCTTGTGTAAAATTAAAATTCCCACTTGAACTGTGTATGTTATATTATATTCAATTAATTATAAAGGAATCAAGACCAACCATATTATTTTTATGTAATTGTAACCTATGGGGCAACAGGATAGTGACAACAAAGCAAAGTATAAATGCAAACCTTCTGTTTCCCCTTCCAAAAGGAAGTGACCATTTGAAAGCTCAAATCAAAGAAGACATGAATCACGTCTGTATATAGTAATTTGAAAGGAAACCTCTACGCACAACCACCCACACACTCACTTATATATGTGGCTAGACATAAGAGAAGAGAAATCCAGAAATGGAGGTAAGGAGGCAAGAACTGTGCAAAGCAGTGTTGGGACAAAAATGGGATGAAGCTGCAGAGTTTTACAGAAGTCATCCACAGATTCAGGCTATGAAGATCACCAAATCCGAAGACACTGCACTGCACGTGGCGATCAGTCTGGGAGCACCAGAAGACAAGGTTGTAAACCTGGTTCTTGAGATTGAACACACCAACGTTAACAACCTCGAAGTTGCCATCAAGACCTTGGAAGCTACGAATGACCAACAAGATACTCCTCTGCATTATGCTGCCACACGAGGTTGTCCCTCTATATGTAGGCGAATATTCCAGCTCCATGAAACCTTGGCTTGTAAACCTAACAAACTAGGTGAGACGCCTCTGTTCTTGGCCGCTCTCAATGGCCGTAAATGTACCTTTCTCTATCGTCATTCAGTTTGCAGGAAGATGCAGAACAGGAGCACAGAATTATTATGGCGTCCATGGTGGAGAAGGGCTAATGGAGACACTATACTTCACTGCACAATTCAAAGAGAATGCTTTGGTATGTGAGTTTTAAATCAGATGATCCCATTATTTCAGCTTAACCACAGAGAGCAAAACTAGGCATATATATTAATGATTCGTGCATGATCTGGGACAGATCTTGCACTTGAGATCATTCATCTGTATCAAGACCAGAATATTGCCAGTGTTAGGAATAATGATGGAGTTACCCCTCTTCATGTCCTCGCCTCCATTCCTTCTGCTTTCGAAAGCGGTATTCCCATGTCTTTGTTGGACAAAGTTCGTTACAGTTGTGAGTATCATTTGCTCTCAATCACAGTATATGTTTATTATATTATCTACCTTGAGTCCTAAGTACAAGAGTTAGAAATTCAATTTGATCTTAAATATAATACCCCAATTCACATTATCTCTTGTATTTATTCTTTTTTTTTCCTAAAGTAGTTCTAATAATGATTGCACATGATAAAAGATTTTCATTCTATTAATGCATATGAAGGATATTTTAATAATAACAACACCTATTTATTATAAATAACTAATTTTCTTAATGTTCATTAATTTATTATCTAGCTCGTGTACAAATACAGTCATTTGATTTTGTGTTATTCATTTTTATTTCCACTTATGCTTTTAATGAAAAGTACTGAAGTGAAGGCTCTCTTTGTGTAAAGACGTTGGTGTAGAAAAGCTGAGAATTGAGGTAAACATGGAGGCCCACGTTCTGGAGGCTGGAAATTCTGTCTGGTTGAGAGCTGATGATGATCCAACAATAGGCCACCAGAGTCAAGGTTGATGTTTTACTTTTTGAAGGAATCAAATCAATGGTGGTTAATACAATCACTTGGCTGACGAATACTCTATCAATTAACGACTCTAATTTCTTTTTGGTTTCATGTCTGGAAATTGAAGGATCAATAAGGAGAATGAAAGAAAAACATGTATGGAGCGGGCAGATCATGGAGGAGCTTCTGCAACGAACTTGTGATCGAGTATGATTACAGCCAAGATGAGAGTCTTGGGGATAAACAGAACCAGCAAGGTATAATAAAAGGCAATTCTTCAACTTATTCTAGTTTTATTTGATTGATTAAGAATATAGGGAAAATTGGGGATAAATCCCTCATTGAAAATTTAATTAGCAAATAGGATCTACAGATTTTGTATAATTTAACTTCCATCATGTGCAGCTTAACTTTCTTCGTGTGCAATTTATCTTTCCTTATATGTAATGATTTTCCTTTATGTGATGTGCAACACAATATTTCTTTGTACAAATAAAATTATTTTATATGCAAGTATCTTCCCTATGTGTAAATAAATTCCTTATATCCAATAATTTTTTGTGCAAACTATCTTCCCTTTATGCGACTTACCTTTCTTTGTATGCAACAGATATTTTCTTGTGCAATCAATCATCCTAGGTCCCATTTACCAAATAAATTTTTAATGAGGGGTTTATCCCCAATTTTTCCAAGAATATATATGAACCATTTGTATTTGATTGGCAGAAGCAGCGACAAAGAAGGACAAAAAATCGACAGCGTTGTTAGTGGCAACAAAGAATGGTTTGACAGAAGTGAAGAGAATCCTTGAAGTTTATCCAGTGGCTATTTATGACAAAACTGACCCAAAGAAAAGAAACACAGTCCTTTTGGCTGTCCTAAA